TAGTCAAGATTATGCTAAAATATACTTTCCCCAACTATATTTAAGTTCCCTACGAAGAGCCAACCTTCAATTTAGAAAATTCCCAGTTTATTCCCTTAAATTCCCGTGGAAAGTTTCCATCTTTGAAAATTCCCGGAATGTTGCAACCCTAATGGTGACAGACAAATATTTTAAATATGACTGACACACACACACACACACTCAGAATGTGTAGTATTTGGGCAGAGATGAGTGGAGGCGCTTGTAAGTGATGAGTGGCAGCGTGTTAGCGGCAAGTGGAGAGGCTATCTTCCTCTACAGACCACACACACACACAAAAACAACCCGTGTGTGTTTATAGATAGAAAGAGAATTACAGTAATGAGAGCTATGTGTCAGCAGCTCCTCCCATCTCCCCTCAGTCTGCTGATTACAGCCTGTTAGATAGTTCACAGACACAGACACACACACACACACACACAACGCAGAGCAGCTGACCCACCAATGACCCTTTAATTAATCAACCCTTCTCTTTCTTTAGCTTCCTTAGTAATCTCTCATCCCTTCATACCAACCACACAGATGCCACCAAAACCAACACACATTTAGACACGCACGCCACCACCCACCCATCCCTCCCCACCCCGCCCACGCTCACACACACAGTTGCAGCTCATCAGCGCTAATCCCTTCCCTCCGTCTCTTTCCTGCCGTCTAATCCAACATCTATCAGAATCCAGCCACCTTCACTGCAGACAAAACACACAACTAAGCCCTGCTATTTCTAGACAACATCTATTTGTGTGTGTGGAGATAATTGGGGAGGTCTGTACATGTGTAAGAGTGTGTTAAGCACATGCATCAGATTGGGAGTCTGCCTGAATGACTTGTGTGTGTTTGTGTCTGGCTCTGTGGGCGTTCGGGCCACGTTTTCCCTGCAGAGAGAGAGAGAGAGTACAAGTGGGTCCGATTACATGAAGGTGAAGCATGCAATCAAATTGTGAATCAAGTGGATCTGTGCTCCGACCCGTCTGCTGGAGGACTCAACACGGCCAGCGCTAATCCCACTGACCACTATCTGTCTGGACCTCTTCAAAACTGATTATTTATGGGTTATATTTGGAAAGCAAACTGGCTTCTAAAAGCTTGTAGGAGTTGCACCACTTTGGATAGGGTCAAGTGGTGTTCAGTTCACTGTGCCGTGTGCCATGTTAAAGGCTGCTAGCTCCTGCTTTTACAACATAATGGTGGTTTTATGACCCGAGAGTAGCATATGGCTCAAGTGAAGTTGACATGCATTACTGCGCTGCTTGGTGATTGACATGCACACAAACATCAAAAAGTCTCAGTAAAAGCTAAAGTAATATCATCATGACCATCCATAGTTCAGCTGCAAGGAGTCGAAATGCATTTAAAATAGCATCAGCACAAGACCGGGCAATATAGTAATCATAGTATTTGTCAAATATTAGCATTTACACTCAGATTCCACATTATGAATAGGTCATATTTAGTTCAACACACAAATAAAATAATGCCATTTTAACAGCACCACATCAAGCAGCTTTCAAAATGGGTCCCAAAGTAACGAACATATTAACCTTCATGAAGGTAGGCTTTATTGCAGGATTGTTTTATTAAGGGAATTACTTAAAGCGTACCTAGTAACTGGTAACTCAACGCATTGGGAATATACGCAGTCATATAATAATACAATTGATGTCCGATGCAATTCCCCTGCTGTGCTTTACATTATACAAACTATTCAAAATGTGTGAAACAATCCCTACAGGAATAAATTACTTATTTGAGTTTTCCTTTTTTTAGGGATCAAAGCTATTATTGGCTTCTGTAGATATAAACACATTGTACTTGACTTGATATACTAGGAATAATCTAATGGACAGCAAAGTTTTGTGATAATATGACGTGCAGGCCACAAAAGTAGCACCACTCAGCCGCCAAATACTGGTCAAATATTCAAGTGGCTTGTACATTTTAGCACCCAGAAGCCAAAAAAACAATGCTAATTTATTAAGTGATACAAGTCTGATCATTCACAAGCCATTTAGCCGTTGGACAAAAAAATGTTATAGTTCAATTATAATATCATGACTATTTTTAGCGATCTCAATCAATGATAGATGTTCAAAATGAGTTATTATCACACATTATCATTGTAGCTGTGTCTTTAAAACACAACCCGTGTGCTTCCGTTTCTACGAACATCACCAGCCAGCCGAACCAGTCGTTAATTAACACACTCATGACTACCTGGCAGATTATAAACACTCATCTGACAGATTCTTGAAAGCACAATCTGTTCCATAACTGTTGCTTTTGTCATGAGCTGTGGTTAGAGTGTAATTATTTATCTGTAAAAGTTTCGTGCTCGGAACAGCCTGTGGGAGAGGTTGATCAAAGCCTTGAAACCTGAACCAGGACGCTGTGGTATCGAAACTGGAAGACGCAGCCGCTCATGTTCCCGACCGTGTCCTTAACCTCATCCCTCATTTATTGTTTATGCTGCTCGCTAGTTCTCAGTACCAGAGTTTGGCAAGAGGGCGACGCTCCAGGTGTTTTGTAACTCGAGGTGTAACATTGAACGGCTGCCAGTAGAGCCGATCACACCGTCTCCACCAACAGATCCAGGTGACTCATGTTCACTGAACGGCTACATTTGTCCAGGTTGGTGCGGCTTAAAAAGGGGCTCACAGTTATGACCCTTCAACCCAAAATGGTTGAAGGGTGATAACAACATCCATAACATTAATCTGGCTGCAACTTAGAAATTATTGATCTAATATAATCATATTCCAATCACTTGTATATAGACTCTTATTGCACTATTTTTCTTTTTGTATTTACTTGCACTATTTTATTGTGTTGCACTGTTGGAGGAGCCTGTGACCTAAGATTTTCCTCGTCATAACTACACTGTAGCTATGTACGTATGACCAATAAAAGCCTTGAACCTTGTCCTCTGATTCAGAGATGATGACACAAAAAGGTTAGGCAAATTGGCCAAACATCTTGCCAACGTCCCATTATCTTTAACTGATCATACTGTAATTATGAACAGGACAAATACACAAGTGAGAAAACATGAGAAGGAAAGACGAAGGGGACACTCACACACCACACACACACACACACACACACACACACACACACACACACACCACACACACATCCACACACACACACACAGACACACACACACACACCACACACACACACACACCACACACACACACACACACACACACACACAGCACACACACCACACACACACACACACACCACCACCACACACACCACATCCAACACACACACAACACACACACACACACACACACAGCACACCACACGACACACCATCACACCCCACACACACCAACACACACACACACACACACACACACACACACACACACACACACACCACACACACACACACACACACCACACACACAAACAACACACACACACACACACACACAACACACACACACCACACACACACACACACACACACACACACACCACACACACACACACACACCACACACACAACCCACACACACACACACACACACACACACACACACACACACACACACACACACACACCTCTGGCCAGGGGCGCTGTACAAAAGAAGTTTGAAGTGGGACAGACAGGAAGGGAGGGAGGATTCTGGCCGGCTAAATCAAAGCAGGTTGAGAGGAGAAGAGAGAGATGGGGGAGGAGGGAGGGAGGGTTGGACTCCACAGCCAGTCCAAATCCCACATTCAAAGGCATTCAGGGAACATTCCTGCACATCCAACACACCAGACAGTAATGCAAAAGAGTAGCTGGCGGAAAAGTTGAATCTGCCCCGGCTCGACTTTTGCCAAAACTTGGTGTAAAGTCATCTGGCAACACACTGAGCAAATACATGTGCACATTCCTGGTAAATGACTGTGGTGGGAAAATGGTAAATCTACCTTTTACATATCAGTCTACCAGACAGAGAAATGACCAACTCTGATGTTATTTCTGTGATAACATCAGGGTGGTAAAACATCCAGTTAGATCCAGTTTATGTGCATATGAGTGTTAATGAAGCATTCGTTATCAGGCAACTTTATCCTTTAAATTGATGTATAAATGTGGTTTTTTTTTCTCTGATTTGTGGATTGTTACTTAGTTGTTCAATGATTTCTATGTTAAACTGTGTCCCATTTTGTTGTGCATGCCATATAACCATATTAATAACCATATAAAATGTATATAAAAACAAAAAACAGAGTGGTAAAATCTTGCTTCACAGTATTATAAACCGATGTATTTTGGCGTCTGACATCCTTCAAACTAATCCGGGATCGTATTTTATAATCTCACCTGTACCTGCAGCTACTTGAATCTTTAAAAACACTGCTGATAGACACAGACTACTTTTTATGGTTTCTATGTTAGTTTTATAAGACTGAGTTGTCATTAACTCAAACAAGGTATGCTCTTTTCCCAGCCTGTAATACGGCATTCACAAGAAAGTGGGAATATTGTTGGGAGTACATATGTAGATTCCTTGCCAATTAGGATTTCTAGATCTGATAAATGACAGTTCAGATTGTATATGACGAGTATAAAGAAAAAGCCTGTAATGTTGTTCATGATCCAGTGGCTTTCTATAATAAAGATCACGTTTAATTAGCCGAAAAAGTAGTGGAAGACCTTTTGTAAGTGGATATAATCCTGATGCATTTCAGAAACACTGTGAAAGAAACAGTAAGCTTCCTCCAATGAGGCTTTTGAACAAAATTGTAGTTGCCGATTAGCTCATATGAGCCAATGTGTTTTTGCTCCTGAGATATGATGATGTTGTGATGATTTGAGGGGAGCCAATGAAAACGCTTGACATATTTTGTGATTGTGTGAACATTTCCGTGTTTTTTGATGTTTTATAATTATGTACATTTCTTTACTATTTGGCTTTTTTTTTCTTTTTTTTTTAATAAAGAAACTCTTGGACACCCACCTGTGGTACTGGGTCTGGAGGAACTGGAACTCCTCCTTGATGCGGTCCAGGGTCTCTGGGTAGGTGAGCTTCAGTGCCTGGGGCTGCCCCGACGCTGCTGCCGCTGCTGCTGCTGCGGCGGCCACCACTGAGGCCGAGGACCCCGGGGGTGGCTGGAGAGGTGCCTGAGATTGGAAAAGCATAGCCAACTTAAGGGGTTTAATAACATGTTTAAAAAGTACAGAATAGTTATGACACTTTTCACATCAGATTTCAATGGGTGAATAATTTCTGTAATATGACTAAGATGCTCTATAAGTTAAGAGGACATATAACAAGTTCAACGGTATACATCTGAATATCTTAAGTGGGCATTGTCCAATGTTTTTACATATTTAGCTAACATTAGCTACTTAAAAAAGCTGACAAACATAAAATGACATACATTTGTCTGTGAGGACGTTACAGAAAGTTAGTAGATATTAGCAAAAACAATTGACACAGCTCGACTAATGTTTACCGCTCTTTGTTGCCAGAGCGCGCAAGAGCGGGTTGCCGAGACAAATCCAACAGGTTGGTAAATTGACAATAAAATGGCATTTTTCAGACGTGCAGATTGCTCGGAAAATAAATGGTGTGTAAAAAAAAATGTGTCCAATAATCGCTTTGGTGACGGTGTAGAGAAAAGCAGTCATAATCTGTGTGCTCGTTTACCTGACTTAAAGAGGCATGACAGTGGCAAAAACCCACGTGGTACAGATACAAAAGAATGATTCTTAGTGCGTCATCTCCTTTCTAAACAGTCTCTTATTTTGTTCGAACTTCAGCTGCTTTTTACAAAGAACACCACAAACAATCATTGGAAGCAAAAGCACCACGTTTGTGCTTTTCTTCCAGCGTGTTTGTGTCTAACTCTTGTGAGGGACTTTCTAGTACAGACGCAGTCATCGCAGCGGAGCCAGATGTGAACGGGTCACCAAGACTAGGACAGCTTTTTAACAAAATGAGCACTCTTTGTTAAATTGCAAGTCTGAGTAGAAGAAAGACATAAAGAAAGAAATAAATGGGTGGGAGAAAAGTGGAGAGCCCATCATAGCTGAAGACCCCTCCCAACCCTGTGCTTAGTCTCCCATCTCTGCAGGGTTCAGAGCAATTAGGAGACTACAACCATAGGGGTAATGCTGCAGGACAGGCGGACAAAAGAGGGCTGAGAGCTAGGACTACGAGGGGGGGGTCTGTCCGTCTGTCAGTCTTTTTGGCTCTCTGTCAAAATAACAGAGTACAGAGGCCAGGGACAGCCGGTTCACAGGCTCCACTGTGGTCAAGTACAGCGAGGAGGTTAAGTGATAGACGCGTACGGTCATTTTCAGGGAAGAACAGACTTTGAATACGTCTGTTAGTTTATTAGAGGGCCGAGTCGTCATTAACTCAAACACAAAATGCTCTTTTTCCAGCCTTTGGTGGGGATGGTCTAAGGAAGGAGGGAGGATTGTAGGAGGACACGTTTAGATTCATTGCCAAGTAGGATTTCTAGGTCTTCAAAATCGCAAAACAAAATCTAAGAAAAAGCCAGCAATGTGGAATTTCTGAGGCTTTTTGTAATGCGGATCAAGCTGGGTTTTCACAGATTTGTAACATTTGTCGAAAAGGTTATACAAGAGCTTTTGGAGGAGGGTACCACCACCATCACCACCATCACCACCACCACCACCTGTAGTACCATTTTCCCTGGGAGGGCAGTGGAAGAGGGCAAATCATTTCCCTCTAATGTGCATCCTGAACCAGTGGTTGTGTAGCTTCATTTGACACCGTCTGACCCACTGGGGTTTGTTATAACGTGGGCAACTTTCATGTGTAACTTGGAATAAATGAGTCATGCAATATAGCGCTTATCATTTCTTTAGTCGTCTCTCCTTGCAGGTATGTTCATTACAACATTTGCCTAACAGAACCATTATGAAAACTAAGGCCAAACACACCCGACAGTGAAAAAGGCGAGTGACATATAACAATTTTCAGTTCCTTTTTAAAAAGTATTTATTTCCTTTCGCACATAGTTCAGGGATTTTTTGCTTTGCTGATTGTGTTGCTTTCACTTTATGCTATTTACTTTACAGTAAACCTTCACAAAAGGAGATTTGCTTGAAATATAATCCACTTTTCCATCTGAACAACAGACCCTACATGGCTCAATGACAGTAAGAATTAAAAGTGGGCAGAATGACAGCCATCATTATTAATGAGAGTTTTTTCAAACACGCACATCTCACATCTTGATGTCCTACACATCAGTGATGTCTGTCACACATTAATGGTGTTTAATTAACCATTTGATCACAACATCACTCATATCAAATGCCAAAGAGTGTGCCCGGGGAGTGTGTGTATGAAAGAGGCGTCTGCATGTTAACATAACAAGAGCAGAGTTTGCTTAGTACGCAGCACCTACATGCATGTGCTAGGAAACATGCATGTCCCCGTGTGCGTCGTGAAGACAAGGTGAGATCGACCGGAGAGGAGAAAGAGACAGAGGAAGGTGTTTTTGGCAGACGAGACATTATCAGAAGAGAGGAGAGAAAATACTGAGGAAGGAGGAGGAGAGTGAGACAAAGACAGAGTTGAATTGATTGAGGAGTTTGAAGGAAAACAGATAAGATTATTGAAAAGATAATATGGGGGAGATCAGCCAGTGAGAAAGTCAACATTACAAGAGGTGAGCAGGAGAAACAGAGAATGTGTTTTGAAAAGGAGATGGAAATAAGAGAAAACAGAAGATGGGCTGTGGCCTCATTGTTCCTCTTTCTAACAAGCTGCTCTCAATCTGTCCGCCAGATCCCCTCCTGGAGCACAGACAGCCACACACACACACACACACACACGCGCGCACACACACACACACACACACACAGGAACCCACCGTTATACACACAAACCCACCGTTATACACACACACACACACACACACACAGGAACCCACCGTTATACACACACATTTTTCCGCCTTGCTCACACACACTGCTTTCCTCACACAAAAACCAATGATTACACACACATACAGTCTCCCCTCCTCTTTCACACACGCACTGAGCAATTACTCTTCACAGGGGGGGGAAAAAGAGCACCGAGGCCATTTTATAAGAGGATGGAAGCAGAAAAAAGAGGCGACTATTCTTCTCTCTCCGTTTTATCACTCCCGTGTTCATTTTTCATGTTTTTTTCCTTGAACGTCAACAAGGACAGGTGAAAGGAGACAGATGTTGGTTCCACTTTTTTCATCTTTAAAAAGGGTAAAATCGTGTTTTTTTGTAAACCACCGTTAGGATACCACTTCTGGCTCACCCTCACTCCAGACAACTTGGTAGGTTTGTTGTTATGATGATTCATGCCAGACTAGACTGGACGGACAAGACAGATGCTGTTTCGGAAACCAAGCATACATAACCTCTTTAGTCACGATTCTTTTGAAGCATTTATTTAGTCTGTCCAGACTCCAGATCAAGCAAACAGCGGAGCATGCATTAATGTGAGAGGTCAGGTCGTGGCTCTGACCTGCTGACCTCTGGGAATGGATCTAGGCTGGAGGGAGCCTCACCTGATAATCCTACACTCGGTTATTCCCTCCCTCTTGGCCGAGTCCTGGCTCGAAAGCAAACAAGAGACACGCCGTCTGCCCTTGAACAAAGCTTACATAGACTGAAATCGCTGTTACACAATTACAGACTGGATCTTCCTGTGGCACGGACAATCCCAAAGTCAGGTTCTGTAATACCGGAGGATTGCATGAGGGCAGGAGAGCTTTTCAGATCATCTGATTACTCATCTGTTTGGATAAACTGGTGAGGAGGCATTTACAGGCTCTGTTCTGTGTCAGAAAGTTAGCTTTAGGCTAACGTTAGGGGGTCAAAAGCCACCTATTGCACAAGCTGAATGTGGAAAAATACGACCCGGTCACATCTGATGTATGGGCACGCACTCACACGTTCACACTAATCTCTCTCTTAGCCCTGGAAGGCCCAAGTCAATTGCAATGATTAAATGAGGACCTGATGATGAGGGGATGAGTGTGAATGAGTCATCTGTGAGAGTCATTTCCATCACATCTCTTCAGTGGGATAGGATAGGGAACAATCCAATAAGGATGGTTTAAACATGCTAACTGGGTGAGAAGCTCCAGTCACAGCACCGCGCTGGCAACATAAAAGATCGGGTTATATGTTCTGCACATTCAGGGTGACATGCAACAAATCCCATGACAGCAATCGTACAGAGAGTTTTGATGGCCGCAAACATTTTACAGAAAAACTGCACCCCTCGATAAATTCTGACGCGAAGTGGACGTCAACAGTGTTGCATTCCCTGGATGAAATCATTCCGGTTTTCATTTGAGTTACCACTAATTACACCGCAAGTATCAAACCACTATGACCTCACATCCTTGCTCTAACCCCCCACCCTCGACAAAACATGTGCACACAGACACAGACGAGACTACACGCCCACACATGCCCACTACAAACACTAAGTGGATTTCTTGCACGATGCAGTTCTCCACAAGTATTTACAAGCACACATGTATTTTATTGTATTCGCACATGACTGCAGCTCCTACGTCAGATAAGAAATGGGAAGACGTGTCTCCGTCCTCACTAGCCACACTGACCCAGAGTGATATATAATCTGCTAATGGAGCTGAAATGGGGCCATCAATGCCATTATGTGGTGGTGTGACCGTAAGGATATTAGGTTCACTTAAAAAGAACACTTCTCTGTCTTCGTCATACGTCTGCAGGGAATAAGAAGAGGAATGGATTTCTCTTGGATGACCTCTCACATTCTCCTTGACTTCTTTGGCAATTTTCCCCACGTTTTTCACATGTAGCGTCAGGGAGAAACGATAAGATGCGTCCAAGTTCTTTATAGACTTGTCTCCAGTTTGTTATGAGTTTTAGCCACAGTCTTGTTTTTTTCTGTCATATTGTGTTCATTCAAATCCTGAACACTGATTGTGCTAATCAGAGAATGTAGCTTATACAGAAATCCCACAGCTAGCTAAAAAAAAAAAAACATTTTATTTGGCATGTTCCCACAAAACAAGACGAAGAGGAGACATAACAGCTCTCTCTTACTGTTCTTTGACACATGATGCTTTAAAGGGGACCTATCTTGCAAAATGCACTTTTGTACGTCTTTTATACATGAATATGTGTCC